AAGTCTAGAAACATTACAAAGAATATTTTTGTCTTATTAACTTTTATTGTTTTTAGAATAATTTCAGGAGCCCTCCCCTCCCCAGGTGTCAGTCTCTTACAACTTCACATTTTGTTTTCTCCTAAACAGATACAAGTGTTTAAGGCAAAGGCCTGATCCTAGTTAAGCTTTATACGCTTTAGAATTACCAATTTTTTTAATGTCAACGCGACTTCAGAGGAAACCAGAACCCTCTGCTGTCAGGCACTTGCAAAGAACATAAAACATAATGAATATGGATACATCATTCATATGAGATGGATAAACGTTGTTTTCACTTAAGGGTGGATTGTTTTCCAGAAATTGAATTCCTAGAAAATAACTTCATTCCAGCTATAGCTTGTTTGTTTATTGCTGCTTGCTACACTTACTTCAATATCTGTGCTCTCAGCTACAAAATAATCCCTTGAAAAGTCATGTTTATTATAGCGAGCTGTTTAGAGACTATCAACACTTTACTTCCACGGATGCTCTTAAAAATGGAACCTGTTTTCACTACTCTAACCATAATAAATATTTATCAGTAATCTTAGTCAACAATAATTTTTCTACAATTTCAAATGTCATTTTTGAATAAATGGTAGCCTAAAAGCCATGATTCAGCTCAAAGACTGCAAGTATCACAACAGAATGCTGTACATTCCATAGCAAAGTGGTTTTATATAGCTAAGCACAGATGGATCTCGGCTGCGCACATAAAAATGTTTGTGCGCGGGGGGGCAGTTATAGTACTTTTCCCTGTATCATCTTAATTGGTTTTCTTTTGTTTGTTCAATTAGCATCTCTTTGTTACTACATGAGATGGAAAATCTCATGTTAGTCAGTCTGTTACCTGATGGAAGAGAGAAAGCTGTTTGTATTTTTCTTGAAGTTTGTTTCACTGTTGGGGGCTAGAAGTGAGGAAGTCCCAAAAAGTAAAAAACTAAATAAATAAACACTTTTTAAAAACCCTTATTTAAAACTTGACCATCAGAAACACAAGAAGAACTTCCTGTACAGGATTCAGGTAGTAGACAACCATTGATGCTCTAGATCATGGTGTATATGTAAGGGGCCTAGTCAGATGCCTGATGAATCCATTTGTGGCTGACAAATCTAATTCAAGATCGACACAGCTTGCTACAAGTTTCACAGATCCATGCGTTGTTGAAGTCCAAATTTACAGCATTCTGCTTTCTTCTTTCTTGTTTTGCTTCCATCTTCTGGATCAAAGCTGCTTCATGTTGAACTGTACTCACTGCCAGTTGTTCCCTGCAGATCAAACGGGATTTTGCATGCTCCTCCCAGCTTTCTGGGTTGAAGTTGAATGATTTCATATCATTTTTGCACATTGTGGTATCTTCAGAGAAGGCAACCCCACTTTCTAAAGCCATTCAAATCTCACTATGCAAAACATTCTTGGGGCTTCAGTCTTCTCCCATTTTTCTGACATGTCGATCCTTCACAACCTTTTCTTCTTGATAGTGGTTTCTAAGTGTGTCAGTCCTGAGTTTTCCAGTACCTCTATGTTCAGTGTTCTGTCTTCCCACTTTATTTTCAGGTTCTTATGCAGACAGCTCATGTGAAAGCTGTTCAGTCTCTTGATATACCTAGCATCTGCAGTCCACGTTTCTGAACCATAAAGCAGAGATTGCAAGACACAAGTTTCAGAGATTTGTATCTTCACCTTAGCTGATAGTTTACTGTTATTCCATGCATGTTTCTGTAATAGCCCCAAATTCTTAACTGCTTTTCTGATTCTGTTACTCAGTTCAGCCTGAAGGTCAAGATTCCTGC